AAAAACTTAAGTATTTTTATTTTATAAATGTGACACAATTACTTATACTTTTTCAAAGATGTTCTTATACTTGTCTCTCATCTAAATCAATACTAACAAGTGGCTTGGTGGTTCTTCTTTCTTTTTTTAAATTATCCTTTTTCATATCTTGTAACTCTTCATAGTCATCCATAAAACCTCTATATCGCTTGTGTAAATCCTTATTCCTCTGATGCATTTGTTCAGTTTGCAACAAACGTTTGACAGCAAGAGACTTTGATACTCCGAGCGGTGTGCCATTATACTTTGAAATATTACGCCCCGAGTTAGTACAAGAATATGTCCTTTCAGATATCTCTTCACACTCTGTTTTACGTGCAGTCTTATTTCGATTTTTAGGATGTAGTCCTTCAGATTTCCAGAATCGCCGTATTATCTTATCTGTCTCAAGTTGGCTGTGCATTAAAACAACTTCTCTAGTTTCAGTGTGCTTTTCTTCAACTTTTCCTGAAATAAACCAACCAAGAAGCGAATTCTGTGCAATTATTGAGCCATATTTCTTTAATCCATCCTTAATAGTCTGAACATATATTTCAGCCCCCAACAAAAGATCAATACCACTAGGCTTTGAAAACGTAGGATCTGCTAAAGGTAATGTTTTTATACTTGATGACAAATTCAAGCGCATCGCTTGGCGTGGCAATATCGAAGAAAGTGACTTCAATACATGACCTTCTACATTAACTATCGGCGTGTCATTTTATAATGAAAAAATGTCGAATCCTGCAATCTCTTTAGAAATCGACGACAGTTTTATGTCAATTCCTGTCACCTTGCTGAAATTACACTCTCTACGTAAACCAAGTCGCTGAGCGGCTGATGTTGATGCTTGTGAACCTTGGTCAATCAGAGCTCGCAACTGATACTTCTTGCCATCATTACCTATAACTCGAACAATGGTCGTAGCTAGTAAGACCTGTGTATCAGTAATATCAGTTGTGTGGACAGCCAGCTGGGAAGTGTCCTTTTCTTCTTTATCCTCCTCATGCTCTTTCTTAACTTGTATAGCGTGCGCTTGTTGCTTTTTATAGGAACTCAGATGTAAAAGAGAATGATGACGTCGCTTGCATATTTTGCAGGATTTAAACTGCTTACTAAATTTAACACTATGCCCAGGTACAAGACAATTGAAGCATAGTTGTTTCTCTTGGACGACATCTCTACGTTCTTCTGGGCTCAATTTCACAAACTCCTTGCAGTTGTAGATGTAGTGATCTTTCAAAGCAAAACGAACAAATGACTTCGATATCCGCTTTGAACGATCTGATTGACGGTTGACGCGTAACAACTTCTTTGTGTTGTGTAGCACTCAAGGCCTCCAACTATCTGAATCTTATCTTCAAAAAATCTAACATCTGCTTACTAGTTGGAATATCTCTAGTCCCTGCTAACTGTTGTTCCCATAAACGTTGACTATCATTGTCGAACTTTGCTACAATGATATGTGTGATAAGAGGATCCCAGTTTGTTGTTGTTACGCCAACATTATTAAGTGCATTCAATACTTCATTCGTAGTGTCTAATAATGCGCGTAACCCTTTGGCTGAGTCTAACGTAAGCTTTCTTTGATTAAGTAGACGTGTGATGTGCGAATGTACTATAAGTCTCTTGTTATCATACCTTGACTTGAATACTTCTAATGCTTTCTCATAGTTCGCTTCTGTTAATGGAGACTGCTTTAATAAAATCTCTGCTTCGCCCTTCAAATTACTTTTCAGGTAATGATATTTCTCTATGTTAGACAACTGTGTATTATTATGTATCAACGACTTGAATAAATCATAGAAGCCTGTCCACTCATTGTAACTTCCTGAAAAGGCAGGTATTTCAATTGTTGGTAACCTTAGAGCTTTGCCTGGAGCTATGGAGACAGGAACTTCTCCCTTATTTATAAAAGTCGACGAGTTTCGAAGCAATTCTTCTAATTTCTCTTTCATCAAAGTCTTAAACTCGAGAGAGACATCTTCACAACTATAGTACGTATCTTCTTGAAAATATTTTAAACTTTTCTTTTCTTCTTGCGTTGCCTTTGTTGTAATGTCAAGATGGTTATTATTGAATAATAACCATCTTGACATTAACTTTTGAACTTTGTTTCTAATAATTCTAATCTCGTTTCGATATATGATTTAGTAATTCTTGCTTTCGATTTCTTGAAATTAGATAAGGCTTTAGTAATGTGTAATGAGATTTCATTTTGCATAATTACTTCTTGTAAGGACATTTTTCTTTCTTGACACAATAAAATATTACTCTTTGTTCAACTTAGATTTTTCATATATCCATGGTATGAATAATAGAGAAAAGGAGAGTATATTCAAAATAATTTTCCGTTATACTCTTTGAATAATAGAGAAAAGGGAGTTTAATCAAAAAAAAAACTTTTCCAACTGTCAAATAATTATCCTTATTTTACGACGAATATTTTCCCTTTTATTATGTATATTTCTAGAAATCTATATAATATTTACGACTTACAATATCCAAATCTTTGTTTTATCGTTACTTATTCAAATCCGGCGAGTTATGGACCAAATGTTCACACATCACACTATACTACGAAATGAAACATCTAACGTAGGCTGACATAACTAACTTTATTGACAGTTTACTTTTTTATAAAACGATTAAACAGTTTATGATTCCGTAATATTATAATAATGATATAAAAAAACGGTTTAAAATTTTGATTTGATAACTATACCATTGACAGTTGTGCTTAGGGTTACCAACTATTTTTCTATTAAATATATTATTTTCGAAGCTGTTACCGCTAAAGATGATGACAAAAAATGGAAAAAAATATAGAATGTGGTTAAAATATTTACTTTATTTATGAAATTAGTATATTTTTGCTTCTCTATACCTGCCTAGTACCTTAACACTTCAGTTTTTATTTTAAAAAAGCTTTTACTGCCAAAAGTCTGCTAAATAGTTAAGCAAAATATAGTAGGTAGTTTCGCCTACTATATATTTTTTAGAAATATAGAATTTGATCCCTTTATATAGTAGTAGTAGGATACTATATTATATAGTACGGTTGGCAACACTAGTTGTGCTTTACTCAAACGAGTAATAACTATACGGGACCTGGGTGTGTACTATGACTCTGCCCTTTATTTGAGGTCCCACCACGATTACATTTGCTGTAAAGCTAGTCAAATGCTGGCATTTATTCTCCGCCAAACCTTTTAGAAATATGAAGTCATGGATAATGTTGAATAGTTCATTGGTCAGAAGTATCTAGGCGATCTGTGCGTGTACAGCGATTATTCTATATCTATATCTCCAGCAGGAAATAATGTACTTATCCCAAAATGGTCCCTTGTGTAAAATGTGTAATTACTTCAATGATCTAAAGAAAATATAACTAGGAAAAAAAACTTATTTCTAGTTATATTTTCTTCAGATTTAAACATCAAGCAGTAACATGCTTAAAATATAAAAATTAAAACTACTTCAGTGATATTTGTTTAAGTTGTGATTTATTTAATTGTAGTATAACTGTTGAAATAATTGTAGAAAATGTATATTAACGAGTTAATTCACTATTTAAATGACAATAAATAAAACATTCGCCATTTTTTATGGAGATTCAAATAATTATTATAGGCATCAAATAAATAATTAGCGACTGCTGCCACCAGTTCGACGTCCATGTCGGACGAATGACAATTGATAAATGTATAAACGCCGTTCGTGTGGACAGATGCAGAATGATGATCATTGCCTTCCATTACTGAAGAATTGAGAACTTCTTCCTTTTTGAAGTCGGTTTAAAATTGTATATTAAATTTCTTGTCAAACTTAAATTATTTATAACTTTTTAATTAAATTTTATTAACAATGTTGTTTTTTATGTTTATGTTTTTCTTTAACAAGGTTTTATTTAATTGCACCTGACAGTTGTTTGTGTGTATATCGTGTGTCAATGCAATATAATGGAGCTGATTTATTGATGAGGAGATGGAGCATGAAAGTAGCCATAGGAACTCTGTAATTAAACGACACAAACCCGTCTTTTTAGGCGGATCTTTTTGTTGAGTTCATATCAGTATAAAGTATTATACAATATGTATTTTGATTGTGTTTTATTATTTACAGGTAAATCCTGCACAATGAAGAAGTTGTCAAAGTGTCAAATACGTAAGTACGTTTTCTAGGTATTCTACTGGCATAGAAACGACAATCACTTCCTGAATTCTTTGTGTAGGTAAGTTTTTTCATGTATATCAGCAAACAATTTAGTGTTGTAAATTATGATTATGAATGATAAGATACTATCATTATCTGTGATTGATAAATGTAAGCATTGCGCAACACAAATTATGATTATGATAGAGTCGCAATATCGTTAGTAATTTTATTAATAAATTGTTATCAAACAATGAGCAGATGTTTCCCTTGTACTGACGAGATGTTGTTTTGTTTATTGCATTCTAAAAGTTCATTCATGACTAGCGCCCGTCTCATAACTCGTGTGCTGTTGATAAAATAATTGTGCTCTCGTGTCATATTATATTGCTATGAACCACTCTGATACGGCGTGGGTGCTTAGTGCTAGCGTTTCATAAGTCGCATTTAGCTGCTCCAATGTGGTGTATCCAATAACTCTGAGATTAAAATTTGAATTTATAATCTCTTCTAAAGGTTGAGCATCCACGTGTCGGAGTATCATCGGCAAGACTAAGGCGATTTGCAATCGCATGCAATTTACATTCTTTTAGTCTAGTGTGTATCGAGTGCTCTCGAATTTATGGGGAGACGCAAGCAAGACGCAGCGCGCAGTTTCCGTAATCAAAAGTTCCTGCTGTATCTAATGCAACAGGAAAACGTTGTGTGCACTCGGATTGTTGTGTTTTTATGCTGCTGTTTATCAGTTTGGTTGTGCATGTGTGCGGTGTGGTTCGTGCGTGTGTGCTGCGTATTGTGCGTGTGTGGATGTTCCTGTCATCGAGTGAAGTCGAGTCGAGGCGAGGCGCGCGATCGCCGGCGCCCGCCAGTCGTGTTCCGAACGCCGCGAGCTTACCGCGTCCCACTCGCGTTGTACCCTGACTCGCGATCACAACTTTGTGCACTGGAAACTTTTCAAAGCAATTTCGGCCGGATCTGATTGTTGCGCGTCACTGTTGCTCCACGTTTCCAGTGGAATCGTTAAGTCCGCCAGGCTGGAGACTGTACGTGAACTGTCGCGCGTTTCCAACACTGCGTTCGATCTATTTTTGAATATTCTCTAAACGCCTCTCCGAGAAGTTTTCGAAACGCAGTCCGTCAAGTCGGGTTAACGGCCTCGTGTATGCAACGCCTGCATCACATCTCTTGTGTTTTTGTTGACGGATAACATTTTGTGCAGTTGGTTAACTTCGACCGTTCAATCCGAGGAACGTTATCTGTAAGTATGACCCCGGTTGATTTACGATACTCGCTGTTCATTTATCCGTTCACACTCGTGCGTGTGTACCTAAATTATTGGATTTAACATGTCAACTTTTATCAGTGCGTCTTGATTGTCCAATACATAATAGGTAGGTACCTAAATGGTTTGCTTTCGATCCGTGAAACTTGTTAAAAAACACAAACAAACTTTAAAGTCCTCTTGCTTGGATAGTGTTTGTGTTTGTGATTGCGTTGTTTCGTTCGTGTAAGTGCGTATGTGTGGGTGCTATGTACACTCGCGTGTGTACATAAATACAGCCAGATGATCTGTGTTCCTTTGCATACATACCTACATACTCAAACATTTGTAACGCGAACCTTTATGGCCATTGTGCTCTTCTCCGTAGTGAGCTAGCATAGACGACACAACATATTTGTCTATGGTTTATAAAGCGTATCTACAATACAAAACGTTAGTGAACACATCATAATGCAGATGATTGAAGTATGAATACCTATACATCGTTATATTAATACTAAAGTTTGAATGTATTGAATATTGAAACTACCAACTATGTAGGAAGTTCACAGTTTTTTTAGAATAATACACATAAAATTGTATTAAATATTTTAAGTTTTCTAATGATCTAAATCTAATGATGTTAGACGTAAGATTTTAAAAAAGTTTCATAATCGAAATTCGAATTTAGTTCTTAATTCGAAAGAAATACCTACTGTTCTTCATTGCCATTAGAGACGCGCATTAAGAGTCATAAAAATCGAATCGGTAATTTTAGGGCGTAGAAATAAAGTTTTACAAATCTTTCTAATATTATAGTCGAACTATAAATATACTTAGACAGTTCAAATTTTTAAAGAATTCAGTAGATCAAATTTATTTATTTTTATTATTACCATCATTAAGAACTGTTAAATCATACAAATACCATTATAATTATAGTACTTATTCACTACATAGTACTAACTCGGCCTTTGTATTTTACAAAATTCAAAATAACATATACATATATCAATAACATAGCGCATAGGATCGCTGAGCTTAAGACAACATTCATAATTATGTTCGTTTTATTGAATCATTTTAATCAGGTACCTCTTGCAAATTGGTTAAAATTTTAAAAATATAGTACCTTGATGAGACCAGCATTTTATTAGATTTTTTGATAACAAATTGACTTTTCACTTCACTATTGTAATGTGTCAAAACGGCCAATATAGCGTGCCGCGACTATAGTGTATTAGGTACATAATATGTCTCATGAATATGAAGTCTAGCAAGCTTATGACCATTTTTATAAATAATAATAGATTCGAAATTTCTAAATTAAGGTTCATATCATAAGTTCAGAAGAGTTCGTTTTCGAATTCCTAGGAGAATTTTATTAAAACACTTACCTAAATGTCACACAATTGGAAGAATTTAAAGGTTAAATTGGTAAATATATTATTAAAGTAAAATGTCTTTCAAGAACACTCCCTGTCCTTTTTCTGATTCTTTAAAGTAAAACACCATAGTACTCAAATCATTATCTTTATTACAGTTTTAATAAATTGGATAAACATTCACTGACCATTCAATCAATCTACTTAGTATCCCTTCTGGATAACTTTTAGTACGCTGGTTGACAATGATATTAGAAGATTGGTGTCGATTCAGGCATGATTCTCCAAACCGAAAATTAAATTTGACACCAGTGTAGTGTTGTCATTATTTATATAGAATGAAAAGGAGAGACTGATGTTAAATGTAGTTTTAAGTTTAGAGACGTGCCAGTATCGACAGCAATGTACTTCTACCGGAGCTTCATTATCAGCAGTTCAATCTTAAAAATACTTTTTCTTCCGACTGTCTGTTAGAGGACTTTGTGATTCGAAATTGGTAGGTGACAGTTGAATGGTTCTCGGAATATGAATTTATATTTGATTTCTATTGTGAAGAGGCTTAAAAGACCTCATTCATATACATGTAGATTGAAATAAAAGAGTGAGAGAGAGATTAATGCGAAACTTCTTTGCTGCTCCAGTTAAAATCATCTCACTGAATTTCGCTACCCAAAAAGTCACTAAAACTTGTATTATTGTAAAACATAATTACAACGGTCGTACAGTATTTATAATTACTAGTTTGAAATACCATGTTTAAGTCCGTTTAAATACTGTACGACCGTTGTAATTATGTTTTACAACAATACAAGTTTTAATGGCTTTTTATGTATCAGAATTGCTTTATGACCTTAGGTCCTATATAACTTAATAATTACAAGTTTGAAATCCCATGTGGTATGTTGGCAAGTCCTTTTAAGTTGTATAGGACCTAAGGTCATAAAGCGATTCTGCGTACCCGCAAACTAGTGTTTGCGTTTCTGTAACAAGTTTCAAATTCCACTTAGGTTCTTACATATATAGTGAAGGATATTAATTAGTTTTAGTTTATTCTATGTGGTCAACCACGTGAGTACTTTCCATATTCATCTAGTTAGCCCGTTAGAATATTTAAATTGAAGGAGCTTTCAGCCAACGCGACAATTTAATCAGTTTTGTTGTAAGGTAAAATTATTTACAGACCTCGTGCTCAAATGAAGACAAATTACCGATAATGTTGAATAATTCATATTTTCACGACATGATGGATATTTTAATGTACCCCTACAAGAGCACACGCAACATAGGAAAAGTTTTGGACTCCTAATTTGTATTTTATATGCTGTCGTGTTAGTATTGAATATTAAATTACGTAGGTACTATTATATATTTAAAATACATCCTTTGTCATTCAATATTTTGGTATTTTGTAGAATATTTATGGATACAACGGAGAGGAACCGAAATATCAAATAGCTTTATTTAAAATTAAAGGGTACATTTAAATAAACGATTAAATGTTTTTAATTGTAAAGTATCTCGTAAAATTTTAATTTTATTGGTTGTTTATCACCGTTCTTAGTATGATAGTTTTGGCCTTAATCATTAATAGCTGATGTTATGCAGGCCTTTAAAATTTCTCTCACATTTCTTTGCTACAAAAATAAAACTATTTTTGTCTTTGACGTAGACATTTTAAAAATACACATAATAATATCTATAACAAAGCATTTATTAATACGGTTTAAAAAAATGGCAATGGATAAGGATTAATTTTTAGTATGTTTTTTTTTCCTTTTTGTTCAATGTTTTTATCGATTGTAATAAGTAATGTTAAAAAGTTGAATTCGTTAGAACCCTCAATCATGAGTTTTTTCTTAATAGTGTTCTATGATTATTTAATACTTTATGTAGATATCGTAATGAGTCTATGTACATAAGTATAGTTTTATTTTTAATTGAGTTGTATATTTTAAACGGCTTGAACCGACAAAATCATTATATTTATAGGGTCGTATCTAAAAATTGTGGTTGTAATATTTTTGCAGTCTATAATGTCAAATGAATACTTTTTCAAGTATTAAACATTTGAAAGAAGAAATAGCAATTATAGTTATGTTTTTATTTGTTTTTAAGCATTCAACTGCTAGATGTTTAAATCTAAAGAAAAGTTTACTAGAAAAAAAATCCACGCGGACCAGGCAGCGGACGGGACTCGAACCCGCACCCTCCGCAATCCGGGCGAATGCACTGACCATTATGCTACCACGGCCCTATTCGCCGCGTCGAAATTTTCCTAGCCTTAAGCTGCGAAGGGTGCGGGTTCGAGTCCCGTCCGCTGCCTGGTCCGCGTGGATTTTTTTCTAGTAAACTTTTCTTTAGATTCAAAGAATATTTTTTTGCCTGACACGTTCATAGCACGGTCATGGTATGATACTGTGTAGTGGGTAGAGACCTTAATCATTTAGCGCACATAGTTTAGTTATATTATCGTTTTAATGGTACCACCAAACGCCTAAATCGTTTGTGGTTCAGAAAGTTTTAATAGCCTTGGAAAATTGACGCTACTTTTAGCTCTTTGTCTAAAATAGAAGAGGGTACAGCGATACCGAAGGGAAAGAGCTTGCGTCTAGGGATGCTAAGTCTTTTGAAATATCGATATTTATATCGATATTTATATCGAAGTCAGGAAAATATCGATATCCGATATATCGACCATTTTAACTCGTTATTATCGATATACCAATATTTTTTCTTTTTTTTTGCTTTGTATTAAGTTTTCAAAGCAAAAACCTATAATAAAGGGAGCAAAGGTTTCCGAAATATCGATATTTATAATGCAGGCAGGTAAATATCGATATCCGATCCGATATATCAGCCATTCCAACATTTCCAACACGATATTTTCTATATTTTTATAGGGTATCAAATCAAAAGCAATTTCGAATCAAAGATATTTATTTTGTTTAAAATGTTTGCACGCAGCCAAAATCAGAATAGATAATCATATAAAAAACAATTGCTATGTATTAGTAAAACCTACACATCAGGGGCGTGCCCATGGCTTCAGAATAGGGTAAGCCCAAAGCTTCCAAAATCACTATACCTATCTTACTTTCTTGACTTGGCGAGCTTAAAAAGTTTACGATTTGTAAAAGATTCTTAATTTTATTTTGTGTTATATTACAATGATATTAAATTTCAATTAATCAGTAGTTGACAATTATCTAGAAAGAGGGACAAGGATTTTATTGAAGTGCATGAGTTACTATTAGGTATACGATTATACCTATATACGTTGGTGTCGATTCTGGCATGATTATCTAAACTTAAAACTAAATTTAACACCAGTCTCTCCTTTTCATTCTATATAGAAAATGACAAGGATAAACTGTTGTCAAATTTAATTTTAGGTTTAGAGAATCATGCCAGAATCCACACCAGTTTAATATGTTTCTTGGGGTTCAAGATTTTTTTAATACTTACATCTAAAAGCTCTTGCGATTTCAAAGCAATAGTTATTTCGATATCATTCAATTTAGATAGTCATAGCAGGTAAATTAATTGATATTATTGTGTTCAAATTTAGTATGCGAAATATTGATATTTTGAAATTTCCGATATCGATATCAG